CGACCCAGAATAGTCCCTACCTTTGTCACCTCTGGACAAACGAAGCTGCCCAGGTACGCCTGCATAGCGGTAACTCAATCTGAAACATCCACCTTTGGATCTTCCCGTGAATACATAGGAGGTGGAGTCAGCTTGGTCTGCTGCTGATCAGATGTGCCAAAGGGAACAGAGGTAGTGGACACGTGGGAATCAGCAGGTGAAGCTGGACGACTGTGGGATGGTGAAACTGATGTTGGGACAAGTTGGAGAGGTTGAGGAGGAGGCACAGGGAGTTGCAGATGTTGCAGAATTTTGTTGACACTCGCTGTCAGGGAGTCAAGGCTTGCTGTCAACTTATCGACCTTGCGGTCGATGGCAGAGCATTGATTCTCTACAGCGAGAATCCGCTGATCCGAGTTAGAAAAGTAAGACCTGTTGAGGGTGTCTGTTAACAACATGGGCCTCTGCCTTTCTGCGGTTTTCCTCCGCTTCCAACAGGGCCTGCTCCAAGGGTGAGGGAGGGAGTGGAGGAGGGTGAGCAGAAGGTTCCCCTTCCTCAACCTTCGTCTTAGCATCAGCCATTCTTAATCACTCACACAGTCTGATAAATAGAGACACACAGAGACAAGGTCAGCAGAGATTAAGATTACACACAAACACAGATGCAATCACTGCCACCTGATGAAAAGAGACGTGGTGTGATAGGCAGAAGAGCGCTCAACCTCTGTAGGCCACTGAGGGCTGTTCTGGGTCAGTTTAGGGCAATCCCAGATAAAATCAACTTGCGATTTTTCATTTACAGCCCAGAACCCTCATCTGAGTGCAATAACTCCAAAATCGTTGTCAGATAGTTAGACAGGACGTGAAGTTGGACTGTAAGTAGAAGGGTTAGAATAACGCAGAGAGTCAGTAGCGATTAACACAACCCAGTAATCAACCAAGATGCAGCGAATTACTGATCAAGCTATTTTTAGACTCCTACTACTGACACTGGCACTGTAGGACTATGTATGCCCCACTATAGGTGAGGCGAAGTACAGATATCACTCTATCTGACTCAAAACATCAATCCCAGTATAGCGCTTTCAGACACTGACTCAATATTGAATTGCGATTTCAGGGTGACTGACAGACTAAAATTATGACGGACAAAACCTGAGATATGACAAACCCTAGCTGCCCCAAACACTGACTATGGCAGCCCAATACTCAGAATTCCATTATTATTGACCAATAGACCCTGAACTATCCAATTCACAGGGTGTACTGAATCGCAATACTATAAAACAGTCAAAGATGCACGTTGAGACAGAGAGGTGGTCAAATAGAGTCAGTAGAAGTCAAAGTAGATAGGTAGGAGAAATAGATATGGCAGTCAGGCAGTGCGATTTTCAACTTTCACTGACTACAGACATCCAATTTCAATTTCTCCAGTCTAATTACAACTATCCGACCGGCTACAGAGACTCGAGTAAGGAACACACTTACTTCAGGGCATAACACTTGAAGAAGAAGCTGAACTGGCTATGGTTGCCATCTCGCCAGTTTCTTCAATTCACTGTTCCTAGTGCTCCCACGCTCAAAATCTCCTGAAACTTGGTGATACTGAAGCTCTTGATATGGAGATTAACTCCCACTACTCAGATTCACTGAATCTGGCCCAGAGTTTGGAACTCAACATACCCCCAGGTATCTCGCCACCAGCAGAGACAACGCCTGGGCTACAAATAGCCCCTCAGTGCCTCCCAGGCCACTGAGCAATAAATCGCCACCAATCTCTGTGTCATACCAACCTCCACACGCTCCTCACCAACACCCTACTGAGCGCAGTACTGAAGATGCGATTCCAGCATGAAATCCAACGTCAGAAGCTCTCGGGTAGTGATGGCTGCCTCGGTCCATCATCTCGCCACTATCTGGGTCCGATCTGCTCTGATACCAACTGTTATGAACATGATTGTCCGTTGAAATTTTATCAACGCTCACTCACAAGAACTCCGGTACACGCCCATACACGCACAGAAGGAAGGGGAGAGGTAGTGGAGTGTCACACCGCCAACAAAAGGAACGCAACGGAAGGCTCAGAGGAGCGAAGTGACAGAATACACAACACAGTGAATTCTCTCCACACAAGTCCCAACAATCATTCATAGAAGACAACCGAGAGATCACAACCAGAAATCAATCAAGAGATGACAACTCGAACACAGTATTACAACTGTTTATTAACTCAGAGCATCCTTTTTACTGAATAAACTCAGAACCCTGTTGCGCTACCCTCAGAGGGGTAGCGCCTCAACCCCACACACACCGAGCAGCAGAAAATAGCACCGGAACCCCAAGTAACACCCAGCGCCACCCTGACATCCAGCTGAGTGGCCTGCGCCAAGATGAAACAGGCTCCCAAAGCCAATCGCCACCCAGATGATGAAGAAGAAGCTCAACGGCAACAGTCCTTGATGAAGATGAAGTCCACACGATGATATCCTCTGAGAAGATGCAGCTATGGCTGCATCGCCACCGGGACCCTACTCCTGAGGAGGGTCAGCAGTGCACCACGTGCTCCAACGCATCAGACCTCTAATAGCCCAGACCGCTTTGACTCCCAGAGATTCAGAGCGGACAGCCTTGACCCCAGTCTGGTCAGCGCTCCGAAGGTCTGGCTATGTCCGTCGTCTCCCACACCGGAATCAGCAACCACGACCTGATACCATGTGCGCAACAACTTCCACCACGAAGTGTCAACTGCCAAAAGCCCCAGACCGATGTTCCCATCCTCTCTATACTCTAGACTAGCCTAGACAGGACCTAGACCGGAATGACTGACCGACCAGTACCGTTTCTGTTTCGGCTTCTACGGGCCTCTCCCTACCCAGCTATAGGCTACAGCACCGTCTATCAGCATAGGCCCATTGGGCCTGTCTGTCCTAGGGGTAGCCCGGGTCTGCTATTCGCAGTTAGGGTAGCTGTAGGAAATTCGAGTTAGTACTGGGCCCATATTTCCTATATTTACAAATACGTCCCTCACGAATTGTCCTTACAGGTAGGTCTCTCGGTTAGCCCTCAGCCAAACAAAATTACGAATCTATCCCTACCTATGGTACAGCCTTGTCAGAGGGAGGCTACAGGCAACCTGGAACCAGCAAGTCATTGCATTAGTGTGCCTTTTGTCTTTTTCGAATTTTTTTTTCTTGTTCTTTTTTTTGCCCCCTAGAAAGAAAAAGCTTGGCCGGTTTCTGTTTATACTCCCCGTGAGTGACGGGGAGCAACGGACTGGCTGTCAGGCCCTTCCAATTAGGGGCATTTCTAGTTAGCACTTTCCAAAATGTATCTTATCGAAGTTGTGGCCCGCCTCCAGCGTTGAGGGCAGTACCGTTGCCCACCCCAAATTTCCCCTCTACTGGTTCCTGCCACCCCCAGCCTCGGCAAAATCCGGCGCACGGGGGGAGGCGTAGCTTCGACAAATCAGGCCTGGGTGTACAGGTGGTATCATGCCAAATTCAGACATTAGCCCATCCTTTACAGCAGCGGCCACCCCCTCTTCTCCTACGCTGCGCCCTCCTGTTTTACTACAGCACACCCTCTTCGATCCTAGTAGCGAGTTACTCCGTGCATGGTCAGCATGACAAGTGTAAACAGCTCGTGAAATATACAACAATAGCAGAGTGCCCAGAGAGAGAGAGAGAGAGAGAGAGAGAGAGAGAGAGAGAGAGAGAGAGAGAGAGAGAGAGAGAGAGAGAGAGAGAGAGAGAGAGAGAGAGNAGAGAGAGAGAGAGAGAGAGAGAGAGAGAGAGAGAGAGAGAGAGAGAGAGAGAGAGAGAGGCAGACACAGAAGTAGCAGAGTCCCCCGAGTGCAATCAGCTCATGAAATATACAACAATAGCTGATACAAAAAGATGGTAGGCGCGAAGCACCATAGCTTTGAGGCAGCACTTGCGATTACCCTACATGTTTCAGCCCGTCATGTACCGCCTTGTACCGGCCATCCTCAGGGGGTCCCTCTGCTTAGCCAATGTTTTATAATGCAGGGTGGGAGGATTGGCGGCAAAAAATCAGACACTTAGCCAACGGTTACAGTTTCAATCGGACACTGTTTTTTTTTACTGCTGGTCGCCCCGTCTTACAGCCAACAGCAGACACTAGCCAATGATTTACAGCAGGGAGGAAGCGGATTTACTGCCAACATCAAGACTTTCCACTGTTAGCACAGCCAATGTTTCACTGCCTGGGGCCCTGTTTTACTGCATCAGGCTGTGTTTTGCTGCCAAAACCAGACATTCACAGCCAATGTTTCACTGCCTGGGCCCCTGTTTTACTGCAGCAGGCTGTGTTCTACTGCCAAAATCAGACATTCCCGGACGATCTGCCATATTTCACTTGTGAAATTGTGAAAAAGCAGACACTAGCCAATGTTTTACCGCAGGGGGAAGCGGATTTACTGCCAAGATCAAGACGTCAGCACTGTTAGCAGCCAGTGTTTCACTGCCTGGGGCCCTGTTTTTTACTGCAGCAGGCTGTGTTTTCCTGCCAAAATCAGACATTCGCAGACGATCTGCGGCATCATCTGCCATATTTTCACTTGCGTGATGTTGTGAATTCAAGTCCCGATGGAAGCAGATGGATGCAATGAAGTTAAAGGCTTACCCCTTTTCGGGGAAAAAAATAAGAAAGCAAGGGCCGATTACCACAGAAGGGGGTGCAAGGTCTGGGCCCAGAAGTGCGTCGTCAAGACTCAACACTCACTAAAGTATTCCACTGCTAAGCAATTCCGCATAAGCCCACTGCCCGACATGAAAGCGGCAACAAGGAGCGCCGCTTGCGCACAATCAATTGTTTTTCAAATCTTTGATAGCTACTTTACCAAAATGGATTAACAAATATAAAATATCAAAAAAGGAAATTTTGTAAATGTTCATTTCCCTTTTTTTCCTTAACTCATACGAAAATCACCAACAGCAACTCGTCCATCCAGTCAAACACGAACAATACCGCTTCGAGCATGGTCGCGGCCTCGTTCATACCTTGCCGAAGGGCTCCCACCATGCATCCATTGCAACAACGCACTTCACCCTCTTGTCGACCCCAGCTGCGCAGACTGCTGTCGCTCCGCCGAAAGAATGCCCAGCGAGAGCAATATCATCCAAGTCCAGACACCCTTTTAGCAAACTAGGGTTCATACTTGCCCGCCCACTCCTCAGATTCGCAGATGCAGATATATCTCCGTCGTTTACCCGCTCCAGCAAATCCAGCACTTGTTGGACCTCTAGGACCCTCTGGAGCATTGAAGGACAAAACACGCAAAAGGATGATTACGGTGAATGGCCATGATCGTAGCAAAAGTAAAAAGTTGCAAAAAAATATCCACGACATCAAAAAAACAAAAAAAAGAAGAAGAAAATCCGCAACAAAAGATTGTATCAACTCAACATTCCTAGCTCTGGTGATATAAGTCATAACCTATCGTTGAAAATTTCGAGTACCTTGACTACCGTCAACCAAACGCGTGTTGGAAATTTTGAGTACCTGCTTTCTTAGAGGGAATAAGAGAAAGTCCTATCAGACTACCGTCAAACAAACGCACGTTGGAAATTTTGAGTACCTCGAGTACACTCAAACAAAAAACAAACAAACTTAATAGTAGTTAATACAAACTATCGTTGAAAATTTTGAGTACTACCTTGACTACCATCAAACAAACACGTGTTGGAAATTTTGAGTACCATGAGTACACTCAAACAAACACGTAATATAAACTATCGTCGAAAATTTTGAGTACCGTCAAACAAACACGCATAAATTGACAAAGACTGAAGGTTTATGTTGGAAAGCACAGTCACTCGGGACATCCGGCCGTTAAGAATTGGAGGGATACACAGAAGATTAGCATGACCCCTGCCTGCCCCACTCTGCTCTGCCGGCGAGCCGCGCTCGCAAGAGCGTGCAACAATGACACGCATAAATCGAGAAATAGTCCCCCTGCCAAAAGAAAAAGAAAAAGTCGGGAAAACTTGAAAAACACACAAACAAAAATAACCATAGAGATAATCAGAGTTGTGCAGTTCTGTATCCCTTACTCACACGAGGACTTTTCAACATATCAGTGGACGTGATTGCGGTCAGATTCATCCAGGCCCTGACCGCAAAAGCGGTAAGATACATCTTTTTGGAAAGTCCTAGAGGGAGTACGGCCTCAGGAGTGCAAATAGAGCATATTCTCTTCTAAATGTAAAATTGTAAATTGTCACAAAGGCCACCCTACAGCTCACAGTGTACCCTTGAGCTGTAAGCAAGGAAGGGTGAGGAGATAGCTGTTTGGGTTTCTCATCAAGGCTACAAAAAGAAGGCCACCCTGCCTGAGGACGCCACATCATGTCAGGTATTAGTCATTAGATGGATTTTTCTCTTTTTTAATAAGACGGAAAACTGAATTTACTTGGGCTGTTTAATTTGATAACTCCTGGTCGGCGCCTGTTCAAAAAGAAGTAAAAAAAAAAAAAAAAGTCAGTGCAAGGAACTATCAATTTTCAAGGTGCAAAAGCTCATAGAAGACCAACAAGCATGAACGAGCCGAGATGAAAGCAGAATTACACAAAGTCGAGAACACACCAACAAGGAACAAACTGGACACTCGAGTGTCTTGATAAAGAAAGCCCCACTTCTCACCTCCAACAATCAATACAATGACAATCCAGTCGCGCAACTATAATGTGCCCGTCTATACTACTTTCCAGTCTTACGCACACTAGTCTACAACCTCTCACACTTTCTCCGCCCACATGTCCAGACTGTTATGTACCCGATTGAACTTCAATCCACAACGAATTCACACATTCCGATACACATGCAATTTGTAGAGTAGACTCAAGGGTAATCCACACAAAACCGGTGAGAAGATATGCACAGCGGAAGCTCAAAATATACAGAGAATTGAAAAACGAATTTCAATTCTGCAATCCCTCGTCCTCCTCCAATCAATCCAGAGTACTTGTTCCAAGAATCACAGCCGCGTTTACAACCACCCCGAACAACCAAAACAAGTGTTCAACGAAGTATGCAGGAGTCTTCTTCTTCCTCCTCGCCACCTCATACCCCTGGCTATGGCTGCCGTAGCAGCAGTAACCCCACAGCTGTCACAACGTGCCAATCTGAACCAGCAACCCCAATGATAGCAGCGCCAGCTCAGTGCCCGCGCGGAACTGCAGCGCTGGAAGTCCTGACGAAGAAGGAGACAACCGATCCAGCACTTCAAAGAAGATGAAGTTCCTCGTGAGGAGGAACAGCAGATATGGCTGCCAAGTGGAAAATGGCAGCGCCCAAACCATACAACACAGTCCTGTGGGAGCTCTCATGCAGAGCTGCAAAATAGCAGCAGTGCGATCTTCAACTTTGTTTTTCACAACCCCCAGCTATGGCTGGGCTCGAGGAGCAAGATGACCTCGCCCAGAATAGAGCAGCAGCGCTCCAACAACGGACGGGCAGAGTTTCCCCAGCCAACGAAAACGTGAAAAGACCCGAACCAGATTTCCTGCCTGCTACTTCTACAGTCTGAGTAGACCTACGAAGGATTCCAAAGGCAACAACCCAAGACTCATCTGTGTCTAGATGGAAACAGGGGGAAAAGGGGACCTAGACCTATGACAAGGCAAAAGGAAAAAGGCCGAATGTGTGACAAGCGCGAGGCTGAGGGAGAGCCGAGGGAGAGGAGAGAGAAAGGTAGAGAGTGAGAGCACACACACCTGCTCACTCACTCGACATGACTAAGGGTTGGACGCAGACACAGTGGCAAGGGCACCAAGTCGAAGTCTTGGATTCCCAATGCCGAAACAGCAAGTCACACTGAGTACGAGTACAGCAGCTGAAACCTGGTACGAGACTGGTCCCTGTACTGTACGGGGAGCCGGTAGAAGTACCGGTGACACGTACGGTACCAGGGGCATTTCCGCAAAAGCCCCGAGGGCAGAACTGACAAATGCGGTATGTGAAAGTGGCGCCCGAATTGCAGCATGGCGCCAGTTGTCCAAAATCCGACGGTACCAAAGGAGGGGTTTGGAAAAAAAAGGGTGCCAGGCCGAAAACGGGATGCAGCAGGGGAAATGATGTTCAGGAAAACAGGGAATTTCTATTGATGTTCTAGTCGGTAAGGGAAACAATGGTCAGGGGAACAGGGAATTTCTATTGATGTTCTAGTGGGTAAGGGGAACAATGATCAGGGAAACAGGGATCTGCTAATGATGTTCTACAGGGTTGTCAAAGTCAGGAAAATAAAAAGGAAAAAGAAAAAAAAAGTTTGTTCAGGTGGCAAGGGCTGGTGTGTCCGAAGGAGTCGGAAGCAGAATCTCATGTAGGAACAAAGTGTCCGAGTGTCTTGAAAGGGGATCTGCAGCGGTCTTGATCAGGTCTTGGAGTAGGTGGTAGAAGCGGTCTTCAGCGGCTGCAACAGGTAGAAGTCCAAGAAGCGTAACAGTAGTTCAAATGTCCGCAAGTCCAAGTGCTAGGGTGCGTCCGGTACATGAACTGCAATGAGGTCTGATCTGGAAGCAAGGAAGTCGCAGACTGATGCAAGGATCCATGTCACAAGTTGCTGCTCCAGTAAGTCCGCGAGTCGGGATGCCGGCCGATGAAACAGCATGGTGGCCAAACCAGCTGCATAATCTCCATGAACAATGAGGCGGCAGGCCATCGTCCTCGTGTGCTTGCCATAGATCCTTTATCGCCGGCGTCACGCAGGTTCATAAGCATTGGACAAGAGAGACACGGTAGTGGAGAGGACAGATGGGACAAGGCTAGGCGAGGGCAAGGGCAGATCAGACATCAGGAATCAGGGTCGAGGGGAAGGTGGACTGGGTTCAAGGGTGTGTGTAGAACGGGGTTGCGAGGTTGTAGCAAGGTTTATACAGGGGTTTAGGGTTGTAGTTACGTGGGTCTCTAGGACATAGGAGTAGCACGATCATAGGCGCGGACAAGTTTCATCGCATTCTTGAGATTCGAGAGAGGTTCCCATGTAGATTCTTCATCGGGGTATCCGGTCCATTTGACTTTGTATTCAATGATTGGTTCCGGGTGGTCAAATACCTGAGTAGTTCATCGACCTGTGATTGCTTCAACAACGAATTCAGGGCCTGTGGGAAACTTGATAGGTGGAGGTCTAGGATATGGGCGGTCAGCGATTTGGGGTGGGGATTCATGATATTCTTTCAAGTATTCGACGTGGAAGACCGGGTGGACGAGGCTCATGTCGGGGGGGAGTTGGAGTTTGTAGTTGACGTCGGAGGTTTTGTCAATGATGGGGAAGGGTCCGAGCCATTTGTTCGAGAGTTTCTTTGACAATCCATGTTCGGGTTCAAAGCATTTGGCGGAGAGCCAGACTTTCTCCCCTACTTTGAATTGCAAGTCTCGTCCATGTTCTTGTGTTCTTTTGAGGGTTTCGGTTGCCTCTCTGAGGAGTCGATTCATTGTTGCTACCCATTCATTGAGGGAAGGGCAGGGTGTGGAGGGGTTGAGTTGCGAGGGAAGCAGGAAATCAGACGGCAAGCGCGGATGGTAGCCAAGGTCAAGGTAGAATGGAGACATGCTAGTGGAAGGACAAACAACGTTGTTGTAGCCGATCTCGGCGGTGGTGAGCAACTGATCCCAATCGTGTTGATGTGGATGACAGTACTTTCGTAGGATTCTTTGGAGAGTATCGTTCATCTTCTCGGTTTGTCCATTGGTCTGTGGGTGGAATGCAGTGCTATACTTGAGTGTAGTTTTGTAGGCGTTGAAGAGTTGTTTCCAGAACTGTGAGAGGAAACGGGGATCGCGGTCGCTGATGATATTCTCGGGGAGGCCGCGGTGGCGTGCAACATGGTCGAAGAAGAGTAAAGCGATGTCTTTGGCGGTGTGCGAGGTGGTGCAAGGAATCAAGTGGGCGCGTTTGGTTAGGCGGCACACAATGACATAGATGCAATCATGCCCGCGATCCGTCTTAGGGAGACCGCACACGGAGTCCATGGAAATGAACTGCCACTGGTGAGTGGGGATGGGCAATGATTGGAGCTTGCCGGGTTTGGCCTGGTTCGAGGGATTGACAGCTTGACACGTGGGACATGAGCGAATGTATGTTTTGACGTCGGCGAGTAGAGGGCCAATAGAAGTAGCGGGAGATGATGTCGAAGGTTTTCTGGAAACCGAGATGTCCTGCGGTCTTGGCGTCGTGGTGCTCGGCCAAGAGCTGGGTACAGAGACCATGTGTGTCAGGGATGCACAATCGGTGAATGCCTTTGGTGTCGATGTA